TTTAAATACAGTGACGAGATAGCTCTTTATTGTGGTTCCATTATCACATTGCCAAAGTAGCTAATTAAGTTAGAACTAAGAAGCAAACAGAAAACCACTCAGCAAAGGAATGCATTTCAGTAACTTTATTGAAAGGTATATCCCTTAGTACCAAAACATAATGGTAGTTGGTTAGGTTACCTCTGCCACCTCAAAATTAACACTGATGTATTCAAAATATTGAAATTTATCAGTCTTTTGGGAAAACTGAAAAGTTATCCATAAAACATGGTTTACAAAAGTATAAGATACATTGCAGTTCTTTGGTTTATTTTCCAGTCCGTATCTACCCATAATGTGATGTCAAAATTGGGTACAGCCATCCTGGACAGACTCAGGATACACACCGAACTGAGTAATCGTTGACAACACTTTTAACACTGTAGCTCTCCTTAGTCACTGAAATCCTGAACTACCTCAGCGACCTTATTATTATGAAGATGCCTACTTTTCTTAAAACTCTTCTGGCACAGTAGGGTCAATTAGTGAAAGTGTATTCTCTTCCTTTTAAGCAAAATTCTAAATTAGAAGCAATGACGATTTTATAAAAACAGTCCTTAGTAAAAACTTCTGGAGTGTTAAAGCAGAAAGTTTTCACAATGATGCTAATTTATTTTGAGTTACTACTACAATAAAGCTGAATTTTCTTGATGGGACTAGATTGAGGCAGTAAATTTTGTATAAAACTTTTATCACAGATACAAACATAACCTGGTTGCTAGAAAAATACTAAAGATAACGTAATATGCCAAAATTACTAGGTCTGTAGTTTTGCTTTATATAAAATATTCTCCAATTTAAATGTGATTCCTATCTACCAATGAAGTCCACATCTCTGGATTATCTATTTTACTTGCATTATGGGTGCCAAGAAACCATTTTCACTGCCTAGAATAGTGACCCTTGTTATGCCTTAAAAGTGCATTTGTGTAATACTGGTTTTCATGCAAACCTCCTCGTCTGAATTAAGCAGCCATTTTTAAGACCACCTAAATACAATATATTGACCCAACAGAGAAAGCTGGATCAATGTTAGAAATGAAGATTCACAGTTTACCTTCCCAAGCTTGTCAGCACTTCACATTTATGCTGTTAGCTTTGATTTGTATGCTTCACAGGTGAATTCAAATTTGAGTAATTCCACTGTAGGGTAATGGTAATTAGGCAGTTTTCCCAAATCTGAGAACATCAATGCTAATCTAGTTGTGATGTTTTGAGGCTTCACAGCTTAAATCCATTATAACATTATGGAATCCACAGCTCAGGATTGTGGAGAAAGACTTCAGAGAAGTGTTTTTTTTTGTTGCTGTAATAATCCTATTCAACAAACAGAAAATCAAGTTATCAGAAGTTTGCCAAACACAAATATTACTACCTGTTTAAAATCAACTGTTCATATCTAAGACTCTTAATCACGTCTTACGTAGATGTGTTCAATGTTAACACTTAGTTTTGAGTTGGAACGAAGTTAAATCAACACTGAGTTAAATTTAGATGGCAAGAATGTATATCATACATTCAGGACAAGGTTTATATTTCTTATGCATGTAACTACTTTCCAGTGTTCCAACTTCTATAGCAATGACATACAACTATCGTGTTGAGACACTCTGGCAGTTTCCAGACACCCAATGCAGAGGCAACCATCTGTCATAACTTACTTTTTAAGTACAACATCCAAGTTCATGCTGATTTTGCTAATAAGCTAACGGTCTCAAATTAATTCATGTGTGGTTCAAACTTTTGGTCCTGTTTTCTTACTTAGGCTTGTGTAACTTTAAATGAGCCAAAGCTCGAGTCTATATACAGCAAAATGACGTGCAATTAAAAAAATACCATTTCAGTGCTACTTTTAAAGTTCAGATTATGAAGGAGGATGCTGCTTTCTAAGCTGTTAATTTAATGAAATGGCTAACATATATATATCTAAGGTTAGATAATTCCTTACTCTTAGGAATTCCTTACTCTTACTGCACCTTGAATACGGTAAATGCCCTCAAATATTAGCTGACTAGATCAGTGAAGTCACTTTCCCCTTTGCTATTCCAACTCCATTTGTTTATTTTGAAAATAACTCAGATTTAAATTCTTGAATTGTAGAAGACAATTATAGCATTAGAAAGTTTTTTTCTACATGGAGAATAACTAAACAAATTTACCAATTAAGGGCCCATTTCAGGAATTGTTGGAAGGTGGGTTATTCTGTAGTAACTATGCTTCAGTTGCCGTGCAGTCCGCCCAGAAACAATCCATTTCAACTTCTGAACATTTGGTTTGGAACACTTGTTTGATGCATATTCAGTTAAACACTTGGACACGAGCTCTTGCCAGAATGTCAAATCTCTGCCATTTATCTGTGCATAAATTTTAAAAATATATTACTTAAAAGTCCTGCAGGTATTTAATTATAGTAGTAATTGCAATCTTATCAACATGTGTCTTTCCTTGTCAAAAAGTTTTGAGGATAAGCTACTTAAGTTTCATGTCAACACATGGCACATCTCATTTTACTTCAGGAACAAGTGTAGTTTCTTTCACAGCTGTTAACAGGATTTGGGCTATGACTCTGACATACCTTGGAATGTTTCTGAAGATGTTCTATTCTTTCCGTTAACTCTACACACTTCTGTGCTTGGATTTCCAATGCAATGATAGACAATGCCAACACAGATGGCTGAAAGAGATAAATTTTAAGTAAATGTTGAACATAAGAATAGGTGTATAAATAGGTTTAATCTTTATAACATATTTACCTTTGCTTTAGAAAATATAATCCTGCAGTAGCACGCCTTAAGTTGAGCTTCCAGTCTTTCAAAATTAAGGATAGTCTTCCTTTAAAAAGAAAATGAGAATAATTTTATGTAGATAATTTTACATCCAGTCAAAATTATAGAAAAATAAGTCAATTTTTTTTATTTTTTGAAAAATAAGTCAATTTTAAAGTGATGTTTATGCACACTTAACATAGAAAATGAATTATCTGAAGTAAAGAATTCAGAGACATGAACATCTTAAGGATACCATACATGAATTTTAAATAATTTGGGCAAAAACAGTAAAGTATCAGGCCCACAGTTATCAATGTTTCTTTTCATTTCATTTTAATCCATTTTTGAATCTAAAGTTCCTTTTTCCATAAATCTGTGTTACACACTTACCTATTAGATTCTATAACTACTCTATAAATGGAAAACATAATTTTTAAAAAGCTGAAATGTCCTTTAGTCTTAAGAATTAGCCTTCATCGACTTCAAGAAGCTACTGATGAAAGTTTTCTCACTTCTGCTGAAGAGTGAAGTCAAACTCAGAGCTGCGGTTGTCATTTTACTTATTTTGACTGGAATTCTCCCAGTGTATTGATTTTACATAAAATCCAGACAATACCATTCCAACTTCAAATCCCCTTTGTTAAGAACAAAGATCACATACCTTTCATGTGGCAAATTTTCTTGAATGAGTGAGTAATAGAGTTGTAGAAATTGAAAGGCAGTAGTAGCTTTGACTTTCCAACACACCTTCTCCAACACAATCTTTTCCATTCTCATCAAATCTGAAACCGTGAACCTATACTGGCTTATTCGGATCAAGTCAGTTGCCAATGGGACATTCCTTTCCTCTTCTATTGATTTTACAGCCAAATAGAAGCAGCTCAGTCCAACACACCCAAGGTGCTTGGGCTGTACCTAAAAAGACCATGTCTTTTATTATTATTCCATGTCTTTATCTTATTTCAGTTAAAAAAAAAGGATAATCTAAAACTCAGACCCATCATTTTGAAAATGTATCTCTGAGGTCTATTTCTCATGTGTGAAGCACTTAACAAGATCTACTCAGACCTTAACTGTAGCCTATTAACCCTACATACCCACTTGGAACTAATTTTTTAGTAAACAGGCTAAGTTTCCTTATGTTTGGCCTCAGCACATAAAAATTCTTACCTATTTTGGTTTGTTTAAATTACTGCAGAAAGCACTGTGTTCCAGTTGGACCAAATAAGTTACTTGGTCAAAGGCTTAAATGAGGACTGAAATGCCTTACAGCTTACGCACAAGAATGTTATGCTTTTCCAGGTTGTTTTCTTTGTAGTTAACACATATAAAATGTTTAAAAATACTTTGGCAAATACTGTTTACTCTGCCCTATGTAAAAGCTCTATATACTACCAATCTTTTTTTATTTATCATTTTCTAAGTGTCTACAAGTCAAAATTTATCACCATCAAATTTCTGTCCACTTTAAGTTCCAGCTCAATTGAAACTTTAAGAAGCCTTTACTAGTATTTGTGCTCTCTCCTCTTAGAATCCCTCCAGCAATATATTTGTGCCTCTTTTGAGGTATAATGTAATTATTTTTCTTATTATGCTTTACCTATACGTTAACCAGTTCAAACATTATTCTCGCTAAAATTGTAACATACTAAAGGGACAAATGTATGTTAGTCACCTGTGCACCATTTACAGAGTCAAAGGTAGTGCTTGCACAGTGTCTAAAGAGTTGTTTAATTAGTCTGTTGAACAAGTTTCTTGAACCATTCCATTCAGCAAACATTGAGCTCTTTCTGTATCTGATGGATTGTGTTAGGTATTGAGGACTAAAAGATGAGTTTCATTTTAACTGTCACAATATTTCATTACGTACCAGTGACCACAGGTGCACAGAGAAGTCAGATGTATTTTTAACAGTTAAACTCTGAAAGAAGGTGCCTCGTTAGTGCAGTAGGTCGCGTCAGTCTCATAAACTCTGAAAGCTACACACAAGTCTTTCTTATCCAATATAGAGAATAATTATATATAAATAGTCCTCCAGAAGATACTCTTTACTATATGCAAACTTAGGCTGAAAATGCCAAGCATAAGCAAGACTGGAGGGAATATAAGGCTAAAATAATTAGAACTTTATTATCTATGAATAGAGATTAAGAAATACATGCTATCAAAAGGTGGTTGACAGCATCAGCAAAAAGAAAAAAAAAAGAAAGAAATATTCTCTAATTCTTAACCCACAACCTAGCATTCTGCCTCTAACACATTTCTCTAAATTAAAAACAACAGTAAGTAAATGAAAATGCCAACCTACCAAGACTTTTAAACACAACAGCCAACTCTCCTACTGGGAAACTCTGCAATTAATTATTTCATATGAGACTATTTTTCAGTGTCAGAAGTTAAGTCTAACAAATGATGCATTACTCTTGGTTAAAGGAAGAGTATCAATGCTGTACATAGAATTACCATAATGTTACTTGTTGAAAACAAAAAAAGGTCAAGATTATGAATATCAGCCCAAAGGTAGCAATACCATCTCCAAAACACATTGAGCAGAACCATGAAATACTCAGGGTAATGTAGCTTTAAACATACCTTCATTTTTGACAGGAATCTGTCCAGTAAATTCACAGCTAGAGAAAACGTCTCTGTGTCAAAGCCAAAGAATTGAGTTAGACTGAGAAGATCTTTTACTTCAAAGTCCCTTAGTCGTGCAGTCATCCTAAGGCCATTATCGTGGGCAGATTCAATCAGTCTCAAGCCGCAGACCTTTGGCTGACATCTCGTCTCCTGTTCCAACAGGGCATTCAGCTGGTGTAGCAGTTTCTGAGAGTCAGTTGTTGTCAGTACCTCTATCATCTATATATAGAACAAAGCCCAGAAAGGAGTGAAAGAACAGCCTTTCCAGCCTTGGGTTGTGCCAAGTGCTTTATAACAGAAGTCTCCCCTCCCTCAATGCTGCTGGTGAAACTAAGTCATTGCAAAGTGCCATGTACTGCTCTTCCCCTCCCCAACCAGTTGGTCATATCCTAAACTGTGAGTTCCTAGAGGGCTGGAGCTATGCCTTTTTAAAGAAGAAAAATGCAAATCTGCATGCAAAAACTTTGAAATTCTGACATTAATGAACAATTTAAACTGTTCAAGTTGGCCAACTTTTTTTAGTCTGTATTTCCTGATCTGTAAAGTGGGTATGAGGTTATTACCTACTTCATAGACTTGTATGAATGAATGAGAGCACCCAGGTACATATGTACTTAGCAGATATATTAGGTGCCTAATAAACACTGGACAATAATAAGGAGCTTATTTCTAGTCTGCCTCTTTGAATGGCTGTAAAGATAAAACAAGATGATTCAATTAAAGAGTTTAGCATAGCTGTTAACTTTTATTGGCGTTAGAAAACGAAGCGTAAGGGGTGCCATGGGAGCACGCAATGGGGGGCGGAGGATAATCCAGCCAGCAAGAGGAACCTGGGATTTCATTAATTTAAGACACTGCTGAACGTCTATTATGTCCAGGGCACAGGCTAAGCCCTGGATACACGGACGGTCCCGCCCTCCCCGCCCCAACAACCACAAGACAGGAAGGCAGGGGCTCTTTAGGGTTGGGAGACGGAAGGGGTGGGCAGAGGTGGAAACACTAACTTTTTGGGCCCTACTCTTTCGCCCCGGGGCTGGTGCCCGGGACGGGGCGGACCTGACTAAGACATCTCAGGAGGGCGGACCTGGCCCCGCCCCTCCAGGCTCAGACTAGCCTGAACTTGTTGCTCACAGCAGCGGAGCGTAAACCGAGGACAAGGGCGCGAGACCTACCCCTTTCCCCGCGCCCCCCAACCCTGCTCCCTACCCGCACCCCGAGGTCAGCCCCGCAATCCCAGCTCACCTTGATGGCGACTGCAGCTCCTCAGCGGTAACCACCCTCCCCGGGCCTGCTCTCACCTCACCCCACGATATTAGATCCGAGAAGCCTACGAGGCGAGGGGACTCGCGGGCGAGAGGGGAGAGGCCCGGGGAGGGGGAGCCGTCCTGGGTGGAGGTCTCCGCAGCGCCGCCCAGACGACGCTGCCCTCCTCAGGGTCAGCTCGGAGCAGAAGGGGCCGCGGCTGGCCTCCTGAGTAATATATTGGAGGGCGGGGCTTTCCTGCAGAGGTGGGGCGGGAATTGAGCACTTTCGCCGCTGATTGGTGTAATTCTTTTGATGGATGGCTCCAGCTGCCAAAGAGGACTGGTCGTAGAGGGACGAAGCCCGGCCAATCAGCGCACAGTTTTTAACGATCCCGGAGTCAAATTCTCCGCCCCTTTAGACCACGCCCCCTATCCCTAAGGGTCTTCTCATTGGAGGATTTCCCCGAGCGTCTTCACTGAAGAGGAGGGGGAGCTAAGCGGAGCGTGCACCAACCCATGCTCGGGTAAGGCCTCTGCCGGCTGGCGGATTGGCTAGAATATTGTTCCAGAACCTACTGGGAGTTTCAGTTCCGTTCTCTTCATTGGAGTGGTTCTGCCCTCTCTTTCTAAAAGTATGGCGCCTACTTAAAAAAAAAAAAAATTAAAGCCCTGGCTTTTTCTGAGGTGGTGGGTTTTGATGATGTGGTTTATTAAATTGCCAGAAGTTTCTCTGTGTGGGCTTTGGAAATCCCTTGTTCCCTGCCTTTGTAGCTTTTCGTATAATTTATCAAAGAGTGGAGTTCGGCTACGTGAATTCTTGGTCTTATACCAATTTCCTGAATTCGATTTTTGAGAGAGCTGGAATAGAAAAGTTGGTGGTTCCTCAGCGGCTTCCCGGGAGAGGTGTGTGGTTGACTCTTGAGGGGAATGTGTAGGTGGACTACCTGCGGTGACTGAATCTCAGGCCGCAGATCCGTGTGTGAAGCAATATTCTTTTTGCTTACTGTCCGTGAACTTCACCTCTGATTGTGAGCCTGTGCGCGGTTAGAGGGGAGAATATTTAGTCGAAGCCTTCCTGGGCGCCTTCGCTCTTTCCTTCCCTGTTGTTGCAAATGCGAAGGGTCTAAGACCACACGGGGACCGGTGAGAGAGAAGCTGGTATGGGTGGTACCTTGATGTGCCTGTTCGCGTGGCCTCTTCCTGGTTAGTGGCTCTCTGGGCTTTGAAAAAAAGCAAAAATGCGAGAGATTGGTTGGCCTCTCTGCTGTGTGATTCCCCGAGGCAAGGACACCGGACCAAGCCCTGAAATTGGGGGCAGAGTTGTGGGGAGAAAGGAGGAGGGAAAACTGGGGAGAAAAAATTAATACCTCAGAACAGTACCTCAGGTCAGTTTGACAAAGCCGTCGCCTTTCAAATGGTGAAGGGGCCTTGGTCCTCCTTGGAAGTAAACTCAGGGAATGAATATAAAAGGGCAATTTGAAACATTTAAAAAGTTCTTTTTACCATGATGGATGAGTTTGCAGAGATACATGTTTCTCCTTTGGTAACAGAACAGAATTGTCAGTAAAATGAGGAGTAGACAGATAGGTCCATGCACTCTTTCACTGATGTTTATTGAACACATAGTATGTGCCAGTGGAGGACAAAATATACTGGTTCCTGTTGGTGTGGAATACGTGGTCTTGTGGACCATGTAAACATACAGACTTTGGGATAAGTCTCACTTATTTTCAAATCATAGGCTACTAACTAGCTGTGACTTGTAGCAAGTTTTTAACCACATTCAGTTTCCATTTTCTTTTCTTAAAAATAGGAAGTAAAAGTACCTTATTCACTGGGATTTTGAGAGGATTAAATAATGCCAAATACATGAAGCGGTAGGCATTGTGCCCAGAGCACAGTGAATACTTGATAAATGGTAGTCTTTATTATTAAATTACTAACATTTCTTTTGAAATGTCTTGCTTAAACATACGTTTGATTCTGTTTTGTCTATTGTTAGACTTCGTCTTCTATTCTCACCCTAGAATCAGAATATTAGAATTGTTTATATAACACTAATAAATGTGTCTAAGTTACATGTATCAATTTCTACACCTCATTTATACTTAAAATTTTCACATGCAACTTTAGCTAATTTACCATCATCTATGTAATAAAAATGTTTTCTCTTACATTAGGATCTTATTATTCTTTTTATTAAATCGGAAATTCCTACATGAAAAAACAATGGTTTCAGTAGCACTGAGGAAACATTGATTAAATATAAATCAAGTCAAATAGACATTTTTTTACCTTTTCTCCTTCCCCTCACCTCCACTGTTATTTTTATTCCATAATAGTGGAATACAGGCTATCATTTAAATAATTTAAAAGTCCTGATTAGCAAAATGTGCAAACATAAGACTCAATTATGTACTATTGTAAAAGAAAGAAAATGAGCCTTTCATTAAGTGTGATTTTACTTTTAAAAACATGTAGGTTTACTAATGAGTCTCTTTCAGGAATTGTGTAAATGATTGACTTCTAGGGTATTTTCTAGGCTCAGTGATATATTCAGCTGCCATCTTCATAATTTTCTCCTCTGTCAACAATTAAGTGCAGCTCAGAATAATGGCCTTTTGACTGGGCAAGAATCCCAGGCAGTTACAGGAAGATTTAATCCTCTTCTCCACATTGTAGACTATAGAAGTGCCTTGAGCCACAAAAATTATAACAAGCAGGTATAGCAGTGGTGGTTTGTCAAATGCTGCCCTGACTCCTAGGGAAATTCCTAATTGATTCTGTTTTCATCCTGGAAAGTGGAGGAATCTTTGTACCTCACCTTCTGTTGAAGCTCCCTGATGAATGTCCACAACTTTTGGATGTAGGTTTGTCCAACTGTGATGAGGGCCGAAAAAGTGAGAATCAAAAGGATCTCAGCTAAGTCTCCTGGCCTCTACTTCCTGATCCTTCCTGGAATTACTTATTGCAGCCGCCTCCACCTCTCAGCTGTTCTCTAGTGCATCTGCTTTGCCTTAGAAGAGAACTTTCTTGGCAGTGGCTTCTTGGAGACTTCATTAGCTTCTGTGATAACAGAGAAACTATGTATAGTTTGGGTGGTGATGGGGAGGCAGGGAGAAGGATACATAATAAACAGATTAATAATGTCAGGTGTACCTTGCCATTCAGAAATTCTAGCTACCTCAGATAAAGTAACCAGTCCCAGTGAATTAAGGTGTTACTGTATTCCATGAAAAATTAAACTTCACTTGTAACCACTACTATACAAAGGCACTGGGAGATGTTAGGCAGAGCTCTCCCACTCGCCAGCATCTAGTCTAATGGCCAGTCTCTGTTGAGTACAGAGCTTAAAGCCAAGCCAGCCAGTCATGAGAAGAGTTTGCATTTGTTTTATATTCTCCATGCGCCAGGCTGTGAGCTGAACTTAAATATACAATCTTATTTAGTCCTCTAACAGCTCTGACAGTATTACTTTCTTCAGAAATGAGGTATATTTTGTACACCTCCTGTTTAGTTACTACTATTTACTGTTTACTAGGTATACTTACTGTTTATGTAACTTGAGTTTGGATTTTACAGCATTTAAAAAAAAGTTTTTGTTTGGGTACATTTAAAACTCATTACCCAATGTCAGCAGTCGTCAACAGTTTGCCCCTGTTCCCTATTTACTTTCTGTTTGGCCATTCAATGAGTATTTACTTAGGACTCTCTAGGTGCCACACCATTATGTTTTGTAGTCCCAGATTAACAATGTTACAGTTTGGGGCTGCAGGGTGTGTTGGCTCCTGTTCTCTGTGAAGGAAGGAAAGGTTGGAAGGATGGGCTGTGTCATTCTCCAGGCATATCTCTTCTCTAGTCTGAAGCCCACACTGAAAGTATGTCTGGGATCTGCTGCTTTGGTAGGAGAAGGTGGAGATGGGAAGAGGCTAGGCTGCTAACTTTCCTCACAAAACTGTGTGCCCACGCACACACATATTCACACAGACTTATACACACAGACACACACAAAAGTCTTGACAGAGTTGAGATTTGGGAAATGAAGTATTTGCACTTTCTAATCCAGCTTTTTTGTCCCTTTGAGTTGTGCTAGAATAAGGAGCCTTATAAATCAGAACTTCTGTTCTCTAGGTTGGCCTGAAACTGGTGAAAGCCTTCCTTGCTTCAGGTCACCACTTTCCTCATTTCTTTAGCCTTTCTATAACTCATGATCTGAGTTTTGAAAGGTATGGCCGAGTGAAGAGGCTGGTACAAAAGGCATTTTAGACAAAATCAACAGTGTATGCAAAGGCACAGAGGAAAGAGAAAGAAGGTTGATTTTTACAGATGAAAGATAGATTACTCTGGCTCAAATGTGGAGGGTGTTGAGGTGGTGTCTAGCAATGAGATGGGGAGGGAAGCAGTTGCTTATCCTCAAGACCAGGAATACCATATATACCATTATTGGAATTTTGGACTTTATTTTATAGGCTTTGGGAAACCAGTCATGGAATTTAAAGAGAATGCCACAATTGGATTTGTGATTTAGAGTGATCACTTGGCATCAGTGTGAGGACTGGAAAGAGGGGACCAAGAGTGCAGGCAGAAAGAGCAGGTAAGAGGTCATTGCCTTAACCTAGGAAAAATTGAGATGATTGAACTGAGGGAGTGAGCACAGGAGTGGGAAGAAGGAGTTGGATTCAGGGGACCTTAGGAGGTTGAGCAAATGGATAGTGGTGATAGATTAGATTTGATTGATAGGGGATCAGGATGAAGGAGGAGTCAGGAATAATGTTCAGATTTCTGGTTTCAGCCAAAGGTTGAGTGGAGATTCTATTTTTAATGTGCTGAGATCGAGGAATACAGGAAAAGGACCAAGTTTGTGCAGAAAGATGTGGAGCTAGAGATGCTTGAGGAAATTCCAGGTGGAGTTGTCTAGAGGGTACCCAGAGAAGCGTTTGGTGCTATAGATAGCTTTGGAACTCATCAGAATATATGAGGAGATTTCAGTCCTGGAAGTAGATGAGTTAGGGACGGTTGAAGATGGTAAGAGAAGCCTAAGGGGAGAGTCTAGGGAACAAGGGTCTCTGAAGGGATGTAGAAGGACAGGACATGTTACAGGAATCAAGAAAAAGTGTTTTAAGGAGAGAGTGAGCACCAGTATCTGATGCTGCAAGGAGGCTAAAATGAAGTGTGAAAACCATAGAAAGTGACATCCATGAATATGTAAACCACTCTTGCAGGGAGCTGGACTGTGAGGGATAGAGTCCCCGGACAGAGAGTGGAGATGGTGTTGAGAGAGATATTTTGCTTTTCAAAGATGAGCTAGACTCGTGCATGTTTAAATAATGACAGGAAAGAGCCAGCAGAGAAAAAGAAGTATCTGCCTACTGGAACAATCTAAGTCCTCATATGACAATAGTCAATTTGCATTCAGTCAGCTGTATTGTTATAGAAGCTTCTAGTCAAATACTCACAGACTACAATGGAAGCGAACAACACAAAGGGACAGAAATTCTATGTTTAGCATATGCTTAAAATTCTC